GAAGCTCCCAAAAAATAATCTAATAAAACATTTTCTCATTACTTGTTTGATCTGTTGCCACATTAATCTATGGATTGTTTTGTTCCTACGTTTGTTTGAATTTTAATTTTCAATTTTGCGTAAGAGCAATAGTTTAATCTCTTTTCCATGTTATGTTTTCCCCTCCCGCTCCACCACCGTAGCACGATATTGTCTGTTTTGGGCCTCGACTACGGTCTCACGGTTTTGTTTCTGGGAACTCATACGAGAACTTCCCAGTGGGTTGGGAGTGCTCTTGCGCGCTACTCGCTTAACTTTGAAGTTCCCATGGAACCCGAAGCCAGTGAGCTCCCAAAATGCCTCGTGCTAAGTAGGGATGAAAATATACATATAAGGATCACTTCCCTGAGCGATGTGGGATGTTACAATCCACCCCTCTTAGGGGCCCGACGTCTTCGTCGGCACACTTCCGGCTAGAGATTGGCTCTGATACCAAATTATCACATCTCGAGCCCACTCCACCAACGTAACACGATATTGTCCGCTTTAGGCCCCGACTACGGCCTCACATTTTTGTTTCTGGGAACTCACACGAGAACTTCCCAGTGGGTCACCCATCATAGGAGTGCTCTCGCGCGCTACTCGCTTAACTTCGAAGTTCCCATGGAACCTGAAGTCAGTGAGCTCCCAAAAGGCCTCGTGCTAGGTAGTGATGAGAATATACATATAAGGATCACTCCCCTGGGCGATGTGGGATGTTACAATAGCTCTGATACAAAATTGTCACATCCCCGCCCAGGGTCCACCACATCCCGGGCCCGCTTTACCACCGTAGCACGATATTGTCCGTTTTGGGCCCCGACTACGCACTCACGGTTTTGTTTCTAGGAACTCACACGAGAACTTCCCAATGGGTCACCCACCATGAGAGTGCTCTCGCGCGTTACTCGCTTAACTTCGAAGTTCCTATGGAACTCGAAGCTAGTGAGCTCCCAAAAAGCTTCGTGCTAGGTAAGGATGAGAATATACATATAAGGATCACTCCTCTGAACGATGTGGGGTGTTACAATCTCCAATAGATTTATTAAATAAGCTCCTTAGATAAATTTTACGGAGGAGTTCAAAAAGGGTTTAAGGTTTAGTAAAATTTTTTAGAGAGCTCCTAATTAAAATAAATTTTTATAAAATAAGCTGCTTAGCTAAATTTTAACCTTTTCATTTGCAAAAATATTTGCTACCTACATGTGTTAGGTAAGTGTGCTTTGAGGGCTAGGGCCAAATTCGATATTCTCATACATTCAATTACTTTAATATTATGTTTAGTATAAATAATATCATTAATTGTATTTAAAAATAATAATGTCCTTATTACTAGTTAGGAGCTCACTGGGTCGACCTTCCTATTCCTAACAACACAATAACATGACTACTCTCAAAATAGTTTACAAATTTTGCAATAATATTACAACTGTTACGTACTCATTCCTCTTTTTCACTACTCCTTCGATTCCCTAATTACTAGTTCGACATTTAAGCACTTCATATAAACCATGCTGCCAAACCCAGTTGACCAAATCAAATTCTCTAATTAAACCCTAATTCATCTCCACCTGCTACACTCTTAACAATTAATGTGTATGTGCCTATAAAAAAGAGAGTTTTAACGAAAAACCTGCGTTACTATTCACTTTGACGAAAAACCATATTTTTACACTAAAAAGTCAATCTTAGTACTATTCACTTTACCCTTTATTTTGTCCTTATCATTAAAACTCAAAGTTTTCAAACCCTTTTCATTAGTTTTCCTATTAAAAAAAAAAAAAAAAGCTTATGAGAAGAATATGCATATTCACATTTTGAACTAGGAATCCCAATTTCCAAACCATGAGAGCCGTCTTAAGCCATTTACCCATTTAACCTTAACTGTATATACCCATTTATCCATTTTTAAACCCGTTTACCTTTTTTTTTACCGATTTACCCCTGTTTTACCCATCTACATGTTTTTTTAACAACTTGAAAATTAAAAAAAAAAAAAAAATTGTATATTTGAGAAAGTCTGGCAGCAGAATTCCCACTCGAACATGCATCTGCATCCATAAGGATGTTGAAATTAAATAAATCTTTTTGTTGTCCAATATATATAGTTGCATTGTACGTACAAATCTCTGATGTCTTTTAAAACTACCCTATATAAATATATTTATACATATTCTATATATAGGAAATTGTTATTAGCACTCCAATAATCTTATTGTACACTCCTCATAATCATATTTTTCTTTCTAATTATAGAAAATTTGAAGTGCAAAATAAGATTTTTGGAGTGCCAATAATAATTCCCTTCTATATAAATATATTTATACATATTTTGTTGTCCAAAATATAAATATATAGTTGGACTGTTGAAATTATCAAACTTCGACGAAGATGAGACAGAGTCGGAGATGAGAGAGGGCTGCTGGGAGAGAAAGATGAGCGGCGAGAGTCCGGGAGACATCGAATAATTATAGGATTTTTAATTTTTATTTTATTTTTAATTTTACATATATTAAATAAACGGTTAAATAGGTACACATTTATAACAGCGGGTAATACCCATAATCATTCGTTTAAATTTCACGATTAAATGATTATATTCATAACTGTTTATTTGTCTAAACGGTTACTCATAACTATAACTGTAAGCTTTAAATGAGCAGGTAATTACAGTTTCTCGTACCTGTGAGTATTTTGTCCATCTCTACTTATTACTAGTTAGGAGCTCACTGGCTCGACCTTCCTAGTCCTTACAATACAATAACATTACTACTCTCAAAATAGTTTACAAATTTTGCAATAATATTACAACTGTTACGTACTTATTCCTCTTTTTCTTTTGATTCCCTAATTACTAGTTCGACATTTTAAGCACTTCATAATAAACCATGCTGCCAAACCCAGTTGACCTAATCAAATTCTCTAATTAAACCCTAATTCATCTCCACCTGCTACACTCTTAACAATTAATGTGTACGTGCCTATAAAATAAAGCTTCTGAGGAGAATATGCATATTCACATTTTGAACTAGGAATCCCAATTTCCAAACCATGAGAGCCTTCTTAAGCCACCCCATTTTCTTACCACTTGCAATCTCAACACTTGTTATGTCTTCTCCATCCTCCGCTGCACCTTTTGGTCCTCATTCTGGCGACTACCTCGTCCAAATTCGGAACGACTTGAGTGGTGGCGGGGCCACCATTTTGGAGGTCCACTGCAAATCCAAAGGCGGAGGAGATTTGGGTAGCCATTGGATCAGCAGTGGCGAGCGTTTCACCGTACGTTTTCACAATGACAGATGTGTCTCAACTGAGTACTGGTGCAAGTTAAGCTGGGATGAGCACTCCAAATCCAAGAGTCATGGCGGCAACTATCGCTTCTTCAATTGCGACGAGTCGTTTCTTCAGTCATGTGGTTTCCAGGAGTGCACTTGGAAGGTTCAGGATGACGGGATATATTTGCATGACCTTCATGGATTACAAGATGTGAAATATTATAACTGGCAGACGTAATTGTTATGGAATTATTTCTGTTCTACATTAGGATTTAATTAGTTGGAATAATACTATATATTTATATTTGTATTTATATATGGTTGTAAGCAGCAGAATTGTTATTTGTTGTTTGCTGCCACTGCCACTTGAGATATAAATCATTGGACCTATTTTAATTTTATTTATTATGTGCTCTTGTTTCCCAGCTTTTATATCACAACAAAATAAATTTTAATACATTATTTATGTTATGATTGTTTATATCTTATATCATTCTATCTTTTAACCGAGATACACAACCAGAAATGCTAAGAATCACTTGCCTTTTTAAAAAAAAAAAAAATGAAAAAGAAAAAAAGATGACCAACTGGTGGCTTCGTCACGGCGGTCTATCCTTTCGGAGGTCAAGAGGGCTCATAGGGACATTTCAACCTTTCTCTAATGTATAATATGGAGTTCACTCTCGAAAATGCATTTTTCAGATGAGGGACAACTTACTAGGTACTTTAAATTACTCAATATCAAGAAACTATAATGATCTTGATGAATCTATTCTTGATGTGGAGTGTATTTAGCATGTGAGGTATGTAGAAAACAACCCCATTTTATAATCTCTTAAAATAAAATCATAATCGAATACACCTCCAATCTTATAAGCCCTTTTAAAATTTTGATTCAATACACCAAACTTTCTATGAATTTTATGAACTCCTTTAAATCTTCATTGAATATAAATTTTGAAAAAAAAATTACAAAATGCAGTGTCCTAAAAATTTTCTCTTCAAGTTTCGTGGTTTCATTTAAATTTAACCAAGAACTGGATCCAAAATGTAATACTTTTTTTTTACGATTAGAAATCCAACGTCTAGATAATCTAACCGTTGGAAATTCAACAGCTCTTAAGAAGCCATGTCATCAAGCTACTGGGCTCTGATGTTGGGGGAAAATTTTTAGGTGTACCGGGTACACCAAAAAAATTTGGTGTACCCTCACTCATTGGAATTTTTTTGGTGTACAAAAAGTGAGGGTGCACCAAATTTTTTTGGTGCACCCTCACCATTATGAGTGAGGGTACACCAAATTTTTTTGGTGTACCGGGTACACCGAAAAATTGCTCGATGTTGGGCTGCTGCAGAATTTATCAGACACTCACCCAACTTAGCGCGTGTATTACAAGTACCTGACAAAAAATAAAAAATAAAACAGATGGTTGACGTCAGCCTTACCCCTTAGCGCAAGTCTAGGCTCAAGATGCTGGACATCTGGCGGGTTTGTGTTGGCCCACCATTTGCCCTCCACAGATGAGCAGCTAAAGGTGTTTCTTGGACTAAAGGGCAAGTTTACAGCCCTATCCTTACCTTTTGGGGCACGACTGGACTTGCAATACAAGATAAAAAGGCCCAAATCCTAAAATCCCAAATGAATACAAAAAGCCCAATAAAACTCGGACCATTTTCTGTGTACATATGTTAAGCCGCATAGCAAATTGCAGTGACTTGTTTCCAAAGACTTCTTTCTCGCTTCAAAACTTTCACTCGCTCTTCTCTCTTCCCTCTCGAGACAAAAAAAAAAATGGGTCAGGGAACGCCCGGCGGGTTGAACCGACAAGGCCTACCGGGCGACCGAAAGCCCGATGGGAACGACAAGAAAGAGAAGAAGTTCGAGCCGGCGGCTCCGCCTGCCCGAGTCGGCCGGAAACAGCGCAAGCAGAAGGGTCCCGAAGCTGCGGCACGGCTCCCGACGGTTACCCCGCTGACAAAGTGCAAGCTTCGGCTGCTGAAGCTGGAGAGAATCAAGGACTATCTCCTCATGGAGGAGGAGTTCGTCACAAACCAGGAGCGGCTCAAGCCGCAGGAGGAGAAAGCCGAGGAGGACAGATCTAAAGTTGACGATCTCCGAGGCTCACCGATGAGCGTCGGGAATCTGGAGGAGTTAATTGATGAGAATCACGCCATTGTTTCGTCCTCCGTCGGTCCTGAGTACTACGTTGGGATATTGTCCTTCGTGGATAAAGACCAATTGGAACCTGGGTGTGCGATTTTGATGCATAATAAGGTAATTGGGGTTGTGGGTTTTTAGGGTTTTTGATTGATTTTCAATGATTTGGATGTTGATGTGGAATGATTTGGTTGTTGATGTTTGTTCCCTTAATGTTTAGTTTTTGTTGGTTCAAATTAAAAATTTGAGAAATTTTGATGAGAAATTGTTAGGGATTGGTCGGCAATTTAGGTTTTTTTTAGGATAAGAATAGAAGGTTTTTATTTTTATTTTTAAATGAGAAATCCGATTTTAGGAAAGTGATGTGAAATTGAAATTGTGGTTGAGTTTGTAACCTCATCGGGCTGATGATGCATTGATGGTGTAGATTTGGCCGCTAAAGCTGAGACCTTGATTGATTTTTAGTGTGCTACCTAAAGCCATAGAAGGCGACTCGGGCATTAGTTAATTACTATCAAATGTCATCGGGTATATATGAAACTGATACAATTATGGTGCTACCTACCGATGTTTATAAACAAAACTATATGTTTGTGGGTGATATACTTCGTTTTTTGTTGTTTGATTTAACTATTTGTGTGTTTGTTGATTGGTAATGTGTTAAATGTTGATTATTGTCAGGTGCTTTCTGTTGTTGGGCTTCTTCAAGATGAAGTTGATCCGATGGTGTCAGTGATGAAGGTCGAGAAAGCTCCGTTGGAGTCGTACGCTGACATTGGTGGATTGGATGCCCAGATACAGGAAATTAAAGAAGCTGTTGAGCTCCCACTGACTCATCCCGAGCTATATGAAGACATTGGTATCAGGCCGCCTAAGGGAGTCATATTGTATGGAGAGCCAGGAACGGGCAAGACCTTGCTTGCAAAGGTGTGGATGCATTTTTTTCTTTCCACTGGGCCACAGCATGCTATTTATGTTTCCTTCGTATATGTTTGTTTTTCCATATTTTGCCTGTTCACTATAATATCTTCCCCACTCAGACATGTTATAAAAGAAATATGGTTGCAGGAACTTACTTCACTGTTGCAAGTCGCAATAGTTCTGAATGTTATCAATGTCATTACTTTTCAATCTGTATCTCTATATACAACATGCCATAGAGATGTTGCTCTCGTTTGTTGGGTGTCAAATATCATCAAACTATTCTTTTCCTTCCTGCAGGTCTACATTGTAGTTGGTTCTTTATTTTGTCACTGTTTTATAAAATAGGGCAAAACAATTGCTTTGCTAGTTTTCCTATGTGTTTTATGGGTGCACCCCCAACTGATAGCATATACACAGTACACCTTGCTTTGAGAGCATTCACAGACACAAAATTTGTTGCAAAGACCTGTGTGGTTAAAGGGTTGTACTTTCACAATTATGAGAATTATGCATGCTCGCCATAGTTTCTTTCCTTGATGTTTGCTTACTGTGTATATGTTCTACCTGCATGCTTAATGTAAAACCATCTCCTCAGCTTGTAACCATATTCTCACCTTTTTCAGGCAGTGGCAAACTCTACGTCAGCAACTTTCTTGCGTGTTGTTGGTAGTGAGTTGATTCAGAAGTACTTGGGAGATGGTCCAAAATTAGTGAGGGAACTCTTCAGGGTTGCTGATGACCTCTCACCTTCTATCGTCTTCATTGACGAAATTGATGCAATTGGTACAAAGAGGTGAGTGGCGAGCCCCTGATCATTGATGAAAACATTCATGAATACCTTTTACTCTTCAATGTTCCTGATGATTATTTGTCTGCAGGTATGATGCCCATTCAGGTGGTGAACGTGAAATTCAGAGGACCATGTTGGAGTTACTTAACCAGTTGGATGGTTTTGATTCAAGAGGAGATGTCAAGGTTATTCTGGCAACAAACAGAATTGAAAGCCTTGACCCAGCCTTGCTTCGTCCTGGCCGAATAGATAGGAAGATTGAATTCCCTCTTCCTGATATCAAAACAAGGAGGCGCATTTTCCAGGTAAATTTACATGACGGTGTATGAGAAAAACAAACTAAAATTCAACTGTGCTTTGTTCTATTTCTTGTGACTAACAATGTTTGGATCTATTGATTGCAGATTCACACATCAAGGATGACGTTGGCTGATGATGTCAACTTGGAAGAGTTTGTCATGACCAAGGATGAGTTTTCCGGGGCTGATATCAAGGCTATATGTACTGAAGCTGGTTTGCTTGCTTTAAGAGAGCGCCGTATGAAGGTGAGATATATACAATTTTTGGTGGAATTTTCTCTCAACCTAGGAACAATGGCAGGGGAAATATTCCAACCTCCCTTCCCATCTTTTGTCTCCGAAACTTTGTTTTCTCGCTTTATTTAATGAGTGTCATTAACACATTATATCCATGCTTAATCATTGAAATTAACTGGGGTGTTATATGTTTAAATTGTGGGCATCAGGTGACGCACACGGACTTCAAGAAGGCGAAGGAAAAGGTGATGTTCAAGAAGAAAGAAGGGGTTCCAGAAGGACTTTATATGTGAAAAAAATCAGCCCACATCTACTTTGAGGGTACACCTGTTCTGTTTTAGAACTTAAATTCTGTTTCGAGTTGATTTGTGTTTTGGATTCGATATTAAACAATGAATCGCGTCCTTAACTGGAAGATGGAGTTTGTCATACTTCTGTTGACGCTATATTTCAAAGCTCACCATATCTCTTCTTAATCTCGGATTTCTTAGCTGAGGAAAACGTCGGATGTATTTGAAGCTTGTGAAACAAAAATTCTGATATAGTTCGAAACTCAGTAGTTTTCCCGAATGGATCCGAGATGTGTGCTGCTACTGCCAATACCAGCAAACAACACCATCTTGAAATTCCAGAAGATCCTTTTTTCTTCTTCTTCAATGTCACCATAATGTGTGTTGTTTTCTTGGTACCAGGTTGGCACGAACTCAATCCGTTAATTAACGCTCAACTTAAACACTCATTTTTCGAGTCGTATAGATTTAAAAAGCGTGCAAGAATCAAATGCATGACATCGGATTCAAGAGGAAGAATTCGAATTCAAAACCTCGGATACAAGAGTGAATTATCTTTTGTTTAAGAGCTACAGACCCCTTTTGGAAGTCTATAAAAAGTGGGGAAATAAAATAAATTTGACCCCGTCTTATCAAACTTGTCACATGCGCGCACAAAACACAGTGGAACCCAAAAAATAGAAAAGATAAATAATTTGAAGTTACATAAGATTTTAGGGTTTAGGGTTTTAGGACGCTAGCTCCTGTTTGGTACCCCGGAAACTATTTTCTCATAAACCTTCCCTTCACAAGCGTCTCTGCGTTTCAAATGGGTCATGGAGTAGTGTGCCAAATCTGCAACGAAGCACGATCCAAATACAAGTGCCCCTCCTGCCGCGCACCTTAGTAAGCTACCTCAATCTTTGCTTTCCAATTTTTCTTTCTTACTGCTCTCTCATTATTTTCCTATAAAAATAATTGTTTAAAAAAAAAAAAAACAAATCTTTTTTTCATGCAGTTGTTCTGTGCCCTGCTTCAAGAAACACAAGGGTATGAGAATCTCAAATTTCAAAATCTATTTAATTGCTTAATTTGGTGATTATCTGGGACTTAATTTGAGTTCATAAATCTGAGAATTGCAGAAAACCCATGTGCTTTGCCAGTTTTTTCTGAAGAAAAACCACCAAGTAAGGATTTTGGCACTCCAATTTGAGTTCAGTTGAACTGCTTTCATATGGTATAATTGAAATTTGTAGATTTTTGTTTGTGAATGATTTGCATTTTGTTTCCTGGTGCATTGATTTTTATGATGTTTTCATGAAGACTTGTGTGCTCTGAGAATTCTGATAATTTTGGTTCTTGTTTTCTTCTTACTCTTCAGCTGCAGGTCCAGAATTACTGGTAGAGAGGCCGTTAGTTGTGGAGGAACCGCGCGAAGTGCTGCAAAGGCCGCAACTGGAGGCCATAGGTAAGGAGTTGTATAACTACTTGGAAATGCATCCGAGTTTCTTTACATATTTACATAAGATGGGCTATTGCTTCTGGAATTGCTGTAAATTGTAATCAATGGACATGTAATTAGGGAGGGGAGCAATGACTAGAGAGTGGGATGGCGGCAAGAATGATGGACATTGAAATAGTAGGATTAACCCTTCACCTCTTTGGAGAAGTTGATTTTTGTGTGGTGCATACTAAGACCTAGGTGCCTAAATCCTTACAAGTAGAAATGGCCGATGTGCCAAATTTAACTCACAAATGACTTTTCTCGAGGTGAACCAGTAGAATGAAAGACGTTAGTTTGAAGCCAAATCGAGAATAGAAGGTTGTTTTATCGGTAGAGACCAATAAGAGGATAAATAACATGCAAGAGAAGCCAAGGTTTATGGTGTTTATGCTGAATGAGTTCATGGTGTTACCGTATCTGGTGCACTTTTCTGTTTCTTTCCATCATTCTGCAATCGCCTTTCCCTCGCAATCTCTAGAAGGCTCGTTTTTTCAGGCATTTGAGTTATTCGTCTATGTGTTGATTTATGATGGTTAGTAAGTCCATCAGTTCAGTAGTTTAGGTTAGTTTAGTTTAGCATAGCCAAAAATTGGTTGAGTGGCCAGGGCACCATTTTAATGATCTGCAGTTAACTCTGCATCAAAGTTGTCCTACGTGATTTTGGCTCTAGAAACCCGACCCACGTCTACTTGTTTTTCCGCTTACGACCTCTGCTTGAAGGATTGATTATATCTATACGAAGAAATTGTTGAGTTGGCGACTGATACGAAAATTCTATTGCTTAATTCACTTTGTTTTTTCTTACAGCTTCTTCCAGTGAAATTCACAGTTCTTTGAAAGATGAGAGCCTTCAGAAACTCATTTGAGTATCGATTGTTCATCAGATGCAGAGAAGGTGAGTAGTTACATTTACTCCAATCGAGACCAAAGTCTTTTTCTTAATCGAATATTTTTCATTTAGACGTGATACTCGTTCCGAAATCAAACTGTCCCTGACTAAAATGTAGAACACTGTTTGCTGATAGTGTTTTATGCTACCCTCAGGAACTTGAAAAAGCTATGGGCGTGGACGTGTTTCAGATATTTACCGACAAGGTGACTCCGTCTGTTACGTTTACAAACAAATATTCTCCTCTTATTGTACATTTATGAATTGTATTGGTGCCTGTACGACCATCATCAGTTCACATGAATAAGCCTATTGTTTGGATTTCTGTCGTCAGATCCTATCTACCATCGAGACATCTTCGACTTCAGCAAACCTCGGTGCAAACGCATAAGAATATTATGCTGCCATCTTGGTCTTCTTCATCTAGTTTCCTGCCCTTCTTTGGCCGCAGAATTTTGTACGCGGGTTTAAAGCTGAAACCATGAAAAACTGCTTTGTTATGTGTGTGTAATTTTATCCTTCATCTTTTGCTCTTTTGTGGTAGACCAGCAAAAGTAAAGACATCTTGAGCAACGACCCCAACAGTTTGGAAGATATCTTGAGAAAAGGTTTTAGCATCGGTGGTTCGTGCTTGCGCCCAAACGAGCACCGGCCGCAACAGAAGGAAACTATGACCAGACACTTAGCTCTCGCATACGACGGGAAATATATGTCTCTATATATCTTCTTCCTATAGCACTCATAACTTGATCGCTAGCACTTGACCATGTTTCGTGATTTAGTCACATGATACATCGTCACGTGGTGAGTGTTATATGACGTATAATCTTTGCCGGAGACATCCGAGATTCTAGCTTATCCATTTCCCAAAACGATTCGAGTACTTTCCATAATCGGTCCTCAAATGCAATTAGACACTGGATAATCTTATTTTGCAGAAAAAAAAAATACAAATTAAAAGGAAAAAGAAGGCAACTACTGGAATGAAATAGAAAAAATGGTCCAGCTTTGGATATCGATGGGCAAAGACACCTTTTTGTTCATCTTTTCCTGCAATGTCTCTTCTGCTTTTGCGAAAAGCAGAAAACGATACCCAAAAGGATCAATCACCATCTCCTTCCATATCTTTTTGAGAATGCACTGGCTCGTGTCATGTTCCAAGACAATCCTTGAACGTTGGGTCTTTAGCCAAAGAGAATGTCTAAAGAATCCAACGGGTAAGAGTTACGAATCATGACACGAGTCGGCCCATTCTAGGATTTTCCATCACACCCCGTCAACGTGGTAATCTCACTAAATTATAAACTATAATACTTTTTACTGTTTTACAGTTCCGAGAGCTATAAAATCAAAATGGGGAAATAGGGGATGGTAAAATATATTGATATTGGGGTGGTAACTAATAATCACAGGTTAGTTTTCCGATATATGGCAGTTTAGCCAGAAAAGGAACAGAAGAGAAAGAAAAGCTACTCTCAGAGATTTAGGCTACAAAACTTAGCAGGCATACGAGCCTTCTGTTATCCATCTACTCTCATCAACTTCAACCTACAACTTAACCTGCAATGCACAAAACGTTACACCGCCAGATATTACCAACTTCCAAACTAATCTGGCAACTATACGAGATATACGACAAAGTTCCACATTCGTCTTTGTAGTTTCAATTGTCTCGATCGAAATTGTTACAATTCAAGGACAATGACTTTGATCCGTCAATTCTTTTCTACAGAATCAGCAATCGAGAAGCATGTATTTGGTGCTTTAACAACTTCCAAGAAGACTGATTTACCCTAAACAATGTCACTTACGCGCAAATTTTGTCGAAAATTGACCAAATTAAAGCTATTGTCCTTAGAGTGCAACAATTAGTCAACTTCTAGACTCATATCACGACAACTGAAGCTACGACAATCTAGTGGAGCGTTGCCCAAAATAATGATTTGGCCCAAAATAAAATAAAAGGTTAAAAGACATTTACCTGATTGATGGTTTCGTGAGTTTCAGGGCCCCTACTGGAACTCGGCTTGCCAGTAGTTGGCTGGGGCATTGCTTGGTTCTGTAAAAGTAGACAAACCAGTAAACGTTACAGGTAATTTTATGTGAAGACGAGTTTGTGATTACGATTTCATATTCGACACAACCATACCTGCTGCTGTAATGGTAACTGCATCTGTTGGGGACCGAAAAACTGCTGATAAGGATCTGCAAAATTGGGCATGCGTGATTGGTTTGGATTTTGTGCCCCGAGCGAGTTTATCATATGATCTGTCTGGTTCACTGCTGGAACTCTGGCAGGATCACTTGCAGGAATAGGCTGCATGTGAAATGGTGGTATAGGAAACCTAGGTCCCATATGTGCGGCCGCTGTTGGCATGGGTGAACCGGCTATTACATTTGGAAAAGGCATCATAGGGCGATTGATGCTGGCCATTTCCATTCCCATTCCCATTCCCATGCCCATTCCAATTCCCATCCCCATCGGCATGGACATCATCTGCTGAACTCCAGGAAACATCATAGGGACCATGCCGCATCCCATGGACACCATCTGTAGAAATTGGTTAGTATCTAATTTTGTCGTAAATAATGCATGAACTCTTATAAACTGTCTCTCGGATCTTCTGTAATTCTTACTTTTTAAGACATTTTTCACTGTTAGATGACAAAAGATTGATGTTCCGTTGATTTGTTTCATTATAATACATTAACAAAAAAATTTCATTTGCCAACGGATGTATCTCAATTCCCAGAATTTTTCTTGAGATTTCTTCGCCTCTGCCAGTATGATCGAGACATGTACAGCATTTGGAAACAAGAAAAGAGCATACCTGTACTTGTAACTGGAGTGATTTCAAGTACTCAATTGCTTCATCCAGCATTGATGCTTTATCCGACTGATACATACGGAATAAAAAGTGATAAATAAAACATACTTAACATCTAATGCAGAAAGCAGTTCAAAATTCTTGCAAAATTCCAGCGAAAGATTGTATAAATATGACAAACCTTATTGCATCGAGGTATTAGTTCTTGTAAAGCCTTCATCTTTTCATTTATCCTATCTCGACGTCTCTGCACAGAAATCTACATTTAGCCCGATTTGAAGAAAAATAACCGCACATAGAGAGAAAAATGAAAAACCAGTTTCGATCGTCAACAGATTTATAGTGAAAGTAGAAGTACAGACCCTCTCGGAGAGATTGTGGACCTCTGCAGCACGCGATCTCTTTGTAGATGATGTCGATCCTCGGACTTGTTTCTTTCCATTGGCAGATTCAAACTCAACATCCTTTTAAAACAAAGGAAAAAAATGAGCAATTATTTTCTAGAATCCAATAGTAAATAGCATAAAGGCCATTAAAGCTACAGACACATATTGCAAGTATACGAACGATCATTGTCTTCATGGACCCTACTGCTGAAAGTACAAACACGAACGCCCTCGCCCCTCCCACCAACTGAATTATGCGTGGCAATGGCATCGTAGCCACAAGTACATCAACTCCAGAGTCTGGACCAAATCAACGCCAATAATCCGAAACTAAAAATCCAAAATTTTCATCAAACCATCTCTAAATTTCCGTATCGGTATTGGCTCACAACTAACAATAGATCGACAAATCTAAACAAACCAATTATCATCCGTCTCTAATTTCTGCCAATGCCTCTACACCTAGCTATGTCCTTTTACTAGCCGTAACAAGTATTCTTCACAGTCCAAAAACTCTACTTTCCTCAATCACCAATTTGGTGGCTACTCAAATAAGTTCTTGTTGCCGAAATGTTGGTTTCACCTAAACTTTCACGTACGAAAATCATTTTCTATATTACTTCATGAAGTATGATACAAATTCTATATCTAAGGGAAATCAAATTATGCATCTACGAAAGGAAGTTATTTCCGCACACCATTTTGCTCACTTGCCACTCCAAATAAACAAGGCCACACCAAATAAACAAGGTGTGCACTAGGAGAAAATGAGGAATAATACTTGGCTACTCAAAGAATGAATACGAGTTTCTACTGAAAATTGTTCGTCGACTCATATAATTTGTGTTTATGATCAGAACCGTTCTATATTATAAATCACTCTTCAAAAGATCGCCTTTGTAAAAAATCAATTAGAATTAAGATCGTATAGTCATCAAACTGTAACAACAGATGAACAAAATTGGTAAAAGCATTACGAACCATTTACTACAATAGATTGACTAAATGACCTTAATTCTAATTCATTTTTTGCACAAACAACCTTTACAAAGTGGTTCATAACATGAATGGTTCTAATAATATGCATAAAAGTCTATGATTCAAATACAAAGAGTTTTGAGTATGAATTCCTACTCATCCTTCAATAGCCAAGCATTGTTAATATAAGACGAAGAAACTAAGTCTCGTGTAAACTGCATGCAGCCCATGAATAATAAACCGTTTGTCCAAAATAAATAAATCAATAATTTTCCATGTATTACACAATGGGTAATGCTAGAGAGACTAAATGGATGGATTAAATTTTGTAAATTAAATGACATAAAAGTTGATTGAATTATGACTTAAGTCTTAATTAACGTGCTTATTTTTTATTGGTGATACGTCATTTAATTTTTAAATTTAGTCTATCTAGTTTCTCCAAAATAAATAATTTTAGTTGGTATTTTATACATGGATAATGCTACAGAGCCTAAATTTGTAGACAAAATTTACAAATTAAGTTATATGTCACCAATAGAAATAAGTATGTTTATTAACTGTTATGGTAGTTTTCAAAATTTTATGACAAATTTTGTCTCGTGACATCATGCTTTATACACTAGAACTAGAAGTAAAGTTTCACTGCCACCTACATCATCTACCAATCATCTTCCATTCTATTTAAGGAAAACTAACGAAAGTTTAAAAAAAAATTAGTTTTAATAAAAAATGACAAATAAAAGTGTAATGAATAATAGTACTAGAAAAATATAAAAATATGATTTTTTGTTAAAAGTACTAAGTGATAGAAGCGTTTCGATAAATTTCCCTTCAATTTATTGTCAGAAATTCATGTCACTCCTACTATCTGCCACGTCATAGCCTAGGGAGGAGAGACGAGCGGGGATGGGTGCGCACTGCGCGCGCTTACCGACGTCACACCCCGCACCGGCGGTCGTTAACCCATAGGCCCCAGGCAACAAACAGCACATTGGGAAAGAAAACGTTGGATTTATTACTTTCTTTTTGTACTTTCTGGAAACTAAACCTTAATTAATTAAATTTCAAATTTTTCCAAAAATATTATTAAATAGTAAAATATATATAGTATATAATGCACGTCAAAAGCGAGAAATTAAACTATATTATTGTTTGCTCATTCTGAAGCTAAGTCCAATCCTCTTTTATTTAGTATAAATAATACCGTTTGTTAAAAAAAAAAAAACAGATAAAAAAGAAATTATTTCTATGTATACTGTGCAATTCTTAACAATTAACAATTTAATTAAGAAAAATTAAGGACTAAGTATCTAAAACTCCCTAACATTCTAGTGTCATTCTAATTTGGTTTCAATCATTTTAAATATTTCAAACAAGTACTCAACTGATTGAAAATATCACATTTCTTAAGCATTAGTTAAATTTAATTCAATATGCTTTTGATCATTGAGTTCTATATTATATAACCAATATCTGAAATTAGATTTAAAGTAATTAATATTAATTTGATCGTAATATATTAGTTGATGAGTTTTGAATATAAAAGTTGAGATGGTATATCACTAGTCGTAACTTGAGTTTAGAGGTGGCAAGGACCTGATATTTCTCGATCTTTATTTTTGTTTTTCACTTTATTTTTGAATCTGTTTATTTATTTAAAAATTTTCATATTTATGTCTTTTTTTAAGTTATTTTTATTTTATTTTAATGTCCATGTACGCTAAAAAATGAGATTCATATTTGCCACATGTGTATTTAACAAAAAAGTTAATTGGGATATAATGAATATAGCATTTTCAATAAGTTGGATGCTTATTTGAAATATTTAAGAAATTAAGACAAATTTAAAATAACCCTAAAAGCTTAGAGCATCTTCAAATGAGATGTCAAATATAATATGTCAAAATTTTATTTGATGGCTGATGTGGCAAGTTGAATATAAATGCCAAATCATCTTTTTCAATGGATGTGTCAAATATTTATTTTAGAGAGGTGTTATTCTCACCCCAATGTCTTATCTTTCTACTCACATTTTTATGAATTTTTTTAATTACAAATTTGTTCATTTGTAAAATGACTAATAAGGACCTTAGTTATCCTTTTTTGCATTACTTTTTTAAATAAATAATTTGACACAAATTAACCAATAACTTACAAAATTAGAGCAAACTCAGAAAGTAAAAATGTGCGTTAAAGTAAGAGAATCTTCAACATATGTGGTAAAAATGGAAAAATGCATAAGACAAAGAAAACAAAAGGGGAAAAGCAAAGAATGAAAACTCAGAATTCTTCATTCCCACCCCAATTGGAATTTGGAAAGGTTACGCTGTTGTTGCTGTTTGTTTTGTTTTTTTTTTTTTTTTTTTTCCGTGTGTGGCTTTTAGAAGAGAGTAATATTATTTGTTTATATTTTTTTTAAAAGAAATTTATCTCTAATTATATATATAGGATTATTTTAGGAATAATAGTGGGTTGGATTTTATATAATGTGGGTGGGAAAATAAAACAACGAGATGGGTCTAGCAGCTCTCTTATTTTATTATTTTATTAGACCTAGAGTTACATTAACTATTAAAAAATAATCAAAATTAGTTTTAATTTTTATTCTATTGGTTGTTAATGGGACTCATGCATTAAAACTTAAATTAAATATATTTGACTCATTATTTATTTGCTATCAAAAAAGACAATTACAAAGCAAGCAGTCAAATGACTCAGATGACACATCATATATGACATATCCATTGGAGAGCACTTGAATATCTTTTAATCTCATTTGATATATTTGATATGTCTTTTGAAGATGGTCTTAGGGGTTTTTTTATTTTTTATTTTTTAAACAAATGATGTTATCTAAAGTAAAAGGATGAGTAAGTGAACTAAGCTTCACATCGACTTTGTCAAGAATCGAATATAAAACTTCACTTACCAGTAAAAGAATTATATTAAACTGTAAAATTAAATGATAAAACTTAAGAATTTTGAAGTCTTTCATTTTTCATATAAATATAAAAAAATACAGATTTGGGTCGTCATTGTCATTAATCTAAAAAGTAATTAATACAAATAAAATTGTGCTCACTCACCTCGCATTGAATCTCGGTGTCGTCGGCGGCGGCGGCGACTTCTCTCCCTTTCCGCTTCCGGTTATCGGCAGTCGGCGGCGGCTTCTGAGCCGACATCGGCTCTGCGCTCGCGCTGGCACTCTCGCTGGAGCCTCCTGGCGACGACGTCAGCGACATCTCACACGTGGTCACTTCTTTCGCCGGAAACGACGTCCCAGCAGTTGGAAACGGCGTCGCTCCATTAGCCAAGCCGCCGCCAGCACCGTCGGGCCTAGTATCCAAAGCCCTAGAGCTTGGACCCACCAGCGGAGTGTCGCTGGAGTCCACCACCGTCATCGTCTCCCTAACCACGCTCTTCTTCGAGCTCGACGGCGCCATTTCCGGAATCATAGGCCCCTTGCTGCTGGCGTTGTTGTTGTTGGGCCTGGCGAAGTGCAGAAAGTTCTGGACCTCGGTCCTCCTCGGCATATGGATCGGCAACCTCGAAGAGGGCGCGGGCGCCGAAACCTGCGGCTGTCGGAGCTCGGAAGTGGTGGAATCAGGATAGAGGAGGTCCGCGGAGAAGGGGTCGTCGACGAGCGGGTACTGAAGCCACGAGGCCATTTCATCTTCTTGCATAAACAGGTGCGGGTTCTGGGCCGGCGGCTGGGGTAGGGAGGCCGGTCTGGTGATGCCGCCACCGTCGTCGGGCAAAACGACGTCGTGCTTGGACTGGTGCGATTTTTTACTATTGACTGCCGACCTCTGGTTCTGGCTCTGCATGACGACTTGGCCGTTCTGCCATAGCAGCTCCATGACATCGTCTTCCGGCCTGCAGTCGAATTTGAGCTGTGAAAATTGAGCTGAAATGAACCGAACCAAATCAGATTAATGAAGTGGGGAGAGACGGAGACTTACATGGTTGATTTTCTGGGTCGGTTGAGAGCAGAGGAAGTGGGAAGTGAGTAATCGTCGTCCATTTCGAAATCGGGGACGCACCCATTCATCTTTTGTTCCGAAATCCGATCACTTAAGACCTCATCCAAAAAAGCCAGTCAGAAAATCGTAGTTTTGAAGAAAATAAAGAAATAAATAGGGGGTGGTGGTGGTTATCACTTACGGATTCAAATAATAAAAAGGGAGGAGGAGGAGGAGGTACTTGTACTTCAAGTTTGGACCGACGATGGAAGCAGAGGAGGTACTTCACTCGGTCTCTGAGTCTCTGTCTCTTATGAGTGTCTGAGTGGTGGTGCAGAGCAAAAGAATGGTACTTTGAATAATGGGGTTCACAAGAGTGGAAAGCTCCAATGTGGGTGGTGATGGGAAATTAATGGATAGAAATCTCAAGGGAAAAGATTTCAGTCGCAGCTGGTAGCTACTACTTCTCTCTCTCTCTCCTCCAAAGATAAGGCTCTTGTCTGTCTGTGTTGTTTCTCTCTCTCTCTCTCTCTCTGCGAATAATATAATAGGAAGGAAAAGGACGAAAGGAAGTTTTGACGCGATGCGATGAGATGAGATGGCAAACGGTGCCGGTCCTTCCCAAGTTTTATTTGTTTTTTAATTTGCCATAACTCCTCGCTCTCTCTCTCTCACTCTCTCTCTCTCATCATCTCATTTAACATGTTTATGATTAACTAAGCTCCACTGATAAATTGCCCCCACATAACTATCACTTCTTAAACTCCAACTCCATTTTATTAGGTTTTACCACCATCATGTTGTACTTGAAGTAAAAACGACTTTCCTACGACTCCCACGTCATTGCAACTTGCAACCGTGCTTTCTGACTAATCCATTAAGTTTTAGGGCTAGTATTCTCCCGTCACCAAATCACTCCTACTTTCTCACTTTTCGTTTTTTTTTATAAAGAAATAACTTATGATTTTTTAGTCAAAATAATTTTTGAATTTGTATAACTCTTCATTTCGATCTTGAAATTTGAAATCAATAAATTTGTCTATCATCAATCATTTTGATCATTTTATAAAAATATATATTAAATAAGGCTAAAATAACAAAAATATTATCAATTTTTTGTCAAATCATTTTACTTTCGGAATAAAATTCCAAATCACAACCTGAAACTGCCACGTTAATTTGGATGATAAAATTATAAAATATAAAAGTCTTCATCTTTTGTGACACACAACCACTTGCACTTTGTCTTTTTCTGTTATTTTCTTTCTAGTTTCTACTGTTTTTAACTTATAAGATTAATAATTGAAAAAAAATGGGTGACGGAAAGTTTTAAAATTATGGAAAAACTAATGAAAGTAGTTTGAAAATTTTAAGTATTAACGATAAAGACAAATTAAATGATAAAATGAATAGTACTAGGATTGACTTTTTAATGTAAAAATGTAGTTTTGCGTTAAAGTGAACAGTACCGCGGATTTTCGTTAAAACTCTCTTTAATTATTTCATATATACATATACAATATACATATTTGTATATATATATATATATATATATATTATATAACACGCCTAATTCGCTTAGGACCATACTTGTATTAGGACATGGAGAATCTAATGCATGAATCGATCATGATTAGTTTTATAAATTAAATCAGTCAGTTGATCCACATCCACTTAATTATCTCTTTTAGTTTAATTGCTTGGTCAAGATCGTAATCAACCTGATGATGTCTAAGTCAGTTTTGTTGATGAAAGTTTGGCACAAATTGTATAAATAATTGGAGTTTTCTTCTTGTCTTACCGGTAATTTAAACATGTCTAGTAAATTACACTCCAGATACTTTCATAAGTTTTCTAATATATATGGTGTAAGTTTCCGTGAAATGCTATACACTTGTATAATTGTAATTAGGAAATAATGAACTCGTCGATACATCGATTAGTGCATCATTCGCTATGAAAAATTGTGTTTTATAAAACTAACAAGTTGGAGTACTCTTAAATTAGGGCTATTATGTAAGGAAAATTTGGTAGGGCAGTAAGACGTGTCATCATGTATGAGGTTTGGTCAGGGAACCAAAAGTACACTAATTAGGTCCATCTAACCCTAATTGTGCAAACATTGATGTAATGATTGTGGATTGTCTAGTCTTTGACCCCTACCATGTTATTGTACTACTGCTCCCTCCCGAGGTGAGCAAATTCCCCATGTTCTTGGCTGGATCGATAGGGTTCTTTCTTTCACGAGTTAAAGTTGCTATGGGAGCATTAACCCTAAAATTGTTATGGCAACATTTCATTGGTTAAGCTCATTGCAATTTCCAGAGATTTGATATTTAGATCCTATATCAGGGCTTGGTTAATGCAAGATTAGTGAGTTCTTATTGGGTTGTTCAAACCTATGACATATATGTTAAATCTTGTAGTGCATTTTCGTAGTTTATTATACTTTTTGATGAATCTGACATGTGATACGCTAGTTCAAACGTTTCTTATTCTATGTGAAAGTTTGAACTTCAGTTCTAAAATTATAATGACTCTTGCATCATTATTTATGTCTAAAGTAACTTGAGTTTAAGACATGCATGCAAGATTAATAGTATCTTGACATTGCTTTGCATGATGGCTCTCAAGCTAGAGGATGCTTCAAGGGCATTGAAAAATTTCTCCCACAGGGGTAGATGGTAATAGGGACCAAGGTGGTCCCAGGACCACTTGAGTATGGAAACTATATATATGAATGTCTTTTGAGGATCATCCGAATGTTTGATTACAAGTCTTTTTTATTTTTATTAAATGTTTGATGTAATGCATGCTAGTCATATCTTGACATATTGCCTCAACAGCACTTGACATGTTTCATCGACAGAAAGTCGACATGTTGCGTCAAAAACACTCGAAATTTTCTCTCTATATCACTCATCAGATTGTTTTGCATATACTGATATCTGTTGACATGCGCATAATAAGCCCACTAAATGAATAAACTGATTTTTATTTTGCACTTCGTGCCTATTCCTATCTAAAAATTTTGTGTTTAACATTGGGACCCTCGAAGGTTCAAATACTGTATCCACCACTGGCTATCTACACACTCTTTTTTACCTCTCACACATCATTTTTTAATTTTCAACCGTTAAATAAAAATAAACTGAATAAAAATCAAAAAACAAAAATTAATAAAAAATATGTGAAAAGTAAAAAATAGGCGCGTGGATCCTCTCTCTTCAATCTAAATTCAGATTATATATGTCGGATTTTGCACGCATCACAATCCTGATTATAATTTAAAAGAAAGACTGCAAGTTTTTGCCGTGACAAAAAGACAGAAATAGTATGATTGAGTTTGAATGTGAGTGCCAGTACTTTCTTTGGAAAATGGCAATTAATTGCGATTACTTTCTATGGAAAATGACAATTAACGGTAAACCGCTCCAAATTTAAACTTAATTCTTTAATTAGCACAGTTATTTTTCCTCTCGTAGAAATCTCTATGTCAAGTGTCAACAAAACCAAAAGTTATTTTACGACAACTTTAACGAAAAGTTCCTAGTACAATTTATTTTAACGAAAAATTATATTTTTATACTAAAAAGTTAATCATGGTACTAGTTATTTTACCCTTTATTTTGTCCTTATCGTTAAAACTCAACCCTTTCCATTTGAGATTTGGACTTTATCTTTACGTGCCAACTTTAGAATTTACTCCCTGAATTTCGAGAAATTTTTCATTGTAACGGGAACACGAATGTTACACCACATGTTTTTATGTAAGTAATGGAAAATTTTATTTTTTAAGTTATTAATTTTCTAATACACATATTTAACTATTTATGTAATGACACGTGGTGTACCATCTCGTGTGCCAATTTAAAATCCCTTCTGAATTTCCACGTGAATTAATTATTTTAGGTGAGCTTAATTACGGATGCATGCATGCATTACCAACTCTGAGTTTTCCAGGGCTGGGCCCGTTGAAAACAGTAGCAGTACTGGAAGGAAACGAGAATTTACATGATATAAGTATGGAACTGTCATTAATATTTTAAAAATATTATTTTATACTCCTCGTAAGGATATTTTTCTTTCTAATTATAGAAAGTTTGGAGTGCGAATTGAAATTTTTGAAGTGCCAATAACAATTATCTATAAGTATATTGTTAGTTTTGTAACAAGACTATGAAACATGTATAGTTTTTTGTCTATATAATAGTATTGTATCATTGAGATGAAACTTCATCTTTATAATATTTGCACCGTTGAAAATAATTGTAGTTGTTGAACAAAACAAAGATTTACATGATATGGATACACTATCAATATGTCTTATGCTTCATGTAAGTCGCTCTTTCTAAAACTAAGTGATCTAAATTCGGATTTGGTTATCGAACTCAAAGCTTTGTTTAGATGACAAGTCTCCTACTTGTGGTGGGACGAAGCGGTTGGTAATTGAACATGGAATAGGAACACATTATTCAACTGGTTCAAATGCACTGTCTCTCTGTATAGTGCTATTTCCAATAGCCACTCATCTCTACATAGGAATAATAGCATACGCTATTCAGTGCCTAAACTAATTACGAACTTAATCAAGCACACGCTCGAGCGAAACATAAATATATGTAAGACTAAATTGTGATTAGGATTAGGCAAAAAACCATACGAAACGTTCTAAACATATGAACAAATCAATTTGTTTGTTGAGAATTAATCACACATTGATGAGAGGAGGAATATTGTCTGTTTTTATAAGTAATTGCATTTTTACTCATATTGTTAATTGATTTTACTGTGAAACTTCAGTTGTACAGTGAAATTTTGGTTTTTTTCATCATGTCAGCATGACGGTAGCGTGAAATCATAGCATTAGTATACAAAAATTGAAGCTTTAAAAATACAAAATACCCTTATGTCGTCTTCTTCTTCTTCATTGCCTATCTGAAAGAGCACGCTAGAAACAATTAAAATTCCTGACATGCAATGCATCTGATCTTTAAGTAAATCGTAATAAGGCCTATCTTACGATTCCATGTGCTGCGACTGCGATCATATATATGCTTTCAATTCCCACCATAACTAAAATCTTATTTACTACATATTTGATATATTAATATTGACAAAAAACAAAAACAAAAAAACCTGTATTATATATAGACACAAACGTATGTATAAGTGTTCTGGTCCCTTCTGTCATTTTGGTCAATGGCTCCTCATGCAATGCCTCTCGCTTGGAGGGCTCTTCTGGCGGCCCCTCCCAGAGGGAGGGGGCTACAAGACAACCTGCTTTGGCACCATTCTAACACACAATCTATCAAGTCATACTCCTTTCGGGTCTGGCTCTGATTTTGAAGTCAATCAGACTAATGATTCACCTTGAGTTTATAAGGAAGTTAAAAAGAGGTGTGTGAAATCCGAAAGAAAAAGGGAGGTATTTACCTTGGTGTGCACTGGGACTTTGATTCGATGGATTGGAGTTTCGATTTGCAAAGACATGGAGATTTGGGAATAAATGACAGAAATCCAGCTAT